CGACCTGTGGTAGCAGAGAGCTGACCACAAACAGGCGAACCATTCAGCTCGCTTGTGGCACGGAAGAGTTCTACAGCCTGTATAAGTAGCATGCTGCTTTGCGTACTTGCGTGAACACCGAAATAGCGCTGTCATTTCACTCGAAACCCAAATGCTTGAAGGAATTTTCATATGCAAAGGAAAAAATGCTTTCCTGTATCATCCTGCTCAACCGCTGAAGGTGGTCGTGTTGAATGATTTCAGATAAGTTCATAAAACGTTCCAGTGACAACTCGAACCAGAATGAATAAAAACCCGTTGTTCCTGCATTCCGACCATTGAAGATACGTTCAGGTCGTCAGAACTAATTTTCATGTCCCTTTGGTTAGTGGTGTGGAATTAATTTCGAAAGAAACACCCACTGACTTGTTTCGAAGGCTGTCTACATATGTTGCGAAAGGACAGCTGGAGGGGAGCATTCCTTATCGAACTCAAAAAGAGAATAATGACAGAATGTAACAACCGCCAACCTATTTAATACATGTCTTGTGTTAAAGAAATTGAGTATCTGCTTCTAAAGGATTTGTAGAAACTTTCCACATGATAACATCAGAGGAGGAACGCCCGTTGCCAATCTCAAACAAAACTGTTGCTTGGAACAATGTAAGGTTTTCACTTCGAAGGATTCGGCTTATAATCAATTAACGATATCATAATGCGGAAAACACTAAGTGAGAAGAAAAATTATTGGAATTTATTTTAATGAGATATGATAAGCATAAACAACTGCATTTCCGAAACACGTGCTTTCTGACGCTTAGCATTTTATCTTCTGCAAATGCTTCGGACCTTGGCCAGCTGGCACACTTTCGCAAGGTACTTCTACGTTCGTCGAAGGAGGAATTGGATCCCAAGGCCGATCGATGCGTGAAACTGTACAAAGTTTCACAACCGTAGGATGCTTCATTTCACCAGGGTGGCTCGGCTAAAAAATAATTTTTTTTACAAACATTCTTCTGAATGCATTTGACACGGTGACTAAAATTTAATGAAGTCATTTTCATTTCAAAGGTACTCAAATGTTATACAGACTGAACTGCATGCTTTGTCACTCTACAATTCATGAAAGTAGCGGCCATTTGCCCATAACTACATATGCAACTTGAATATTGCTGATGCACTGAATCAATGAAGTGGAAAAACTGGAGGATCTGATTTGAACTTTAGAGGGGTACGGTTAGACTGGAATTTTGAAATGCAGCACGAACACTACTTTTAACACCAAAAAACCGTATCGCTGACCTGCAAAGTGAATTCATTATTATGACATTAGATTTCTATCGCTGAAAACAATTTATACTGAAAACATATTATATAACTCCTGCTTAAATGGTGGCATAAAGTTATTGCAGCAGGTTCAAATAACGGAATTATCCGCCACTCCCCAAAGATATCTCTCCGTGTCCGCAATTTTAAAAGCACGCCGATTTTCACTCCTTTGGGCTCGATGAAAGGAGGAGGCAGCATTTTACAAAATATGGCAACCTGCATGGAATGCCGTACCATGCGCAGAATAAAGCTCAACGAAATGAATACTGGCAGAGCTTCGACTTATGTTCGATATTCGTGCCTACAAGGACAACTGAATGATGAATACATGAACGAAGTCATTGTTCCACTCTTTGAAGCCACATTTACCTGCCAGTCTCTCGACTGAATGTTTCTAACATTGTGAATATGGCAGATCAGAAAATTATATCTTTAGGCTGTTTCTGCTATGTCTTGCTTGTATAATATTGTTCCTCGTTAATTAAGTCAACAACTGCCTCGATATTACAAATTTTACCTTTGGTTCTCAGAGGTCACGACATAATGCATATATTTATAACAAATTTTTCGTTCATGCGTCGGCGGTCATACTAAAGAAAAATATAAAGCACGGTTTAATTAAACATAACGTAAAAATTCTTCAAGATGGGCGAGTAACAGTTTCGTGAATTTCATTTGTCATCTAGAGCAGTCGAAGGCCAAACGACGACGGACGACAAACGAAATTCATGAAACTCTATCACCCACCTACCTTGAAACAGGAACCTAAAGTTCGGTTTTGGTCAGCCACTGGACTGACCATATTATCGTTGGCCTTGTCGAAGTGTTTTATGTTGCTTTGCCAAACTTTCTAACAGTAATATGGACAGCGATCCTGCTTTTATTTTACGAAGGCACGAGCGATTTTAATTTCAGTAACAATTGTTATGACCAATCAGGTATTGTACAGATTATCACTCTTCTCGTCGAAGAGAGACAATACTCTGTTTCACAATGATGATAGAATGATTTCCGTTCTGTTTCCGTTGAAGTATTATATGGATGACAGCCTCATATCCCGTCATCAGTGCATGTACAAGGGGGAGACTTATTCTACAAGATAAACTTAAAAGGAAGCTAGGCTCTGCTAACCGGAGTTGGGCCTCTCGCTTTCCGTTCATGGCAGATGTGCAGTGTTGCAGTGTTAAGAAATTCCAAAAACCTTGGGCTGATTTTGGTTTACCGTTCTTTACTTTTTATCATCAGTTCTCCATGACACGTGACAAGCAAAGTTGAATTTTTGGCAACCACGTAATATATAACGCTAGTATAAACTACCATCAAATCTTCTGCTACTTCTGCTGATTCTTGCAGATGATATTGAGCACTAACACTTTGCTAGTAAACAAATAAAACCAGAGTTAGCTTTTATTATGAACTGATTTTATGATTAAGTAAAGTACTTAGATCATTAGCTAAACGACCGATTTAAAACACTGTTTTCTTGTATTTATATTGCTAACTAATATAAATTAACTTACTAATTAATAGATATGAATTTCGATTTCCCTTGTAATTTAAACTATCATATACCATAAATTATTTGCACCAACTAAGAAGTTTGTCAGGAGGATGTGCATTCGATTTTGCTTTTCAAGACAATTCTCAATTTTCTTCTCTGAAACAATGCTGACCCTGGCAAAGATGAAGGCTTCATTTTACAGGGAAGACGTAGTTCCAGATATCCGGCTAGATATCTCACTGACCTGGAATATGCAGATTACATTGTCGTGGTGAATAGCGAATAGTACGGTGAACGGCCTGTGTCACCAGATGACCTTATGGAACATAGCTGCAAAAACCAACCTCTATCTTAAAGCCTGAAACCAAAATGCTCTGAGAAACCCTTCCGACACAGCTGACATACAGGTGCAACAGAAAGGTGAAGCATTTTAGGAGGTTTGCCAATTTTAGTTTCACAGTTCCATCATCCCCAGTCAATTCACTCTCCAGTCAAAATTAAATAGGAGGATCACTCTAACCTCCAAAGATTTTGAAAACCTATGCAATATTTGAGTTGAGAAAGGAGTTACTGTAGACATAAAAATCACCCTGTTCTTTACTTATTTTAGGTCAGTGCTGTGGCAACTGAAGCGGTTTTTCCAACGCAAGAGCAAGAACGATGATTGAATTGCATACACCAGTTTTGGATTTGATGCATAGAGAGGGTTAAATAGCACAACTACACAAGGAATGAATGTATTCTTTTCAGGGCACAGGTAACCGCAGTAGAAGTGGAAATAAAGAAAGGGTCATAGAAGACAAACCGATTGAGTATAAGCCACTTTTTTCTCAATCCATCAGCTTCTCGAGAGCTAAAACATAGCAGATGCTGATTAAGAGATCATCGTGCAACATGAATGAACCATCACTGTAAGGCTGGTCTGCTTCGGGAGATGAATATTTCCTTTTACGATTCAGTAACCGACACCTTCTTCCAAATGTGTTGTAAAGCTGGGAATGCATTGGATATCACAAAACAATGGCCTTCTTATGCAAATGGCTCAAGATTATCAAATTATATTCACATTTAATATATGACTTACCCATAATTTCAAAATGTCGTAATATATGAAGTTTCTACGTTATTATCGATAACTATTGGCGATGAAGTGCAACATATAATTGTTTTGAAATTAATGATTGCCATTTACCGTAATTCGTTAAATCGGTTTAATTTATAAAATTTGACTATGATTGAATTTATTACAAAACTCAAGGCTTGATTGCTGAGCTCCAGCTTTGGCATAAATTTCATATACGTCTGCGCATTCAACATGACCTTGGTCGCTGTTGCTTTGCTTCTTTTTGTTACCATCATAATTATCCCTTCAACCTTCATCGCAGAGTTGGAAGTACATGAGTTATCGTAATCGTGTTAAATCTTTATCTACGCCCTCTCCTAGTTTAACCAAAACTATCCTTGATAAATACAAACAGCTTTTTAGCTTGCGAGCTGCACACATAGAGCTAGATTGATTTATATATGCTAATTAAATACGTCAAGGTAAAATAACCGACCTGATTCATGAACTCCGCCACGTAAAACTTAACGGTGTACGCTATGCCACTGACGACTTGTGTTTTAAAGCTCTTGATTCCGACCAGCTGTTGATGAACATTGCCTGTCAGCTTTCTGTTCAGTGCTTTCACGCCATCGCACGCCACTTCGATGGCCTTCGGATCTGTGGTATCCTGATCAACAGGAGCACCAGGCATCATTTCTCCGTTGGCGACAAGAAGAAGGCAAGCAAAAGTGAAAATCAGCAACATCGTCGAGCTGAAACATGCAGACACCTGAACGATCATCTTGACATTTGTGACAGTTGAAAACGTCGCCAATTAACGAAAATAACAGAATGGAATTTCACACGCAGAAAACTATTGAAGTCTGTGTATCGTCCAGAAGTCATGGGGAAACATGTCGTATGTCTACGTTTAAAACTCGTTTAGAAATAAACGCCCGCCAAATCAGATAACTGAAATGCTGAGTATTCACAATCTTCTTAGAAACATACACAGAGGCAAGGTAATTGTCGAGAAAGGCGATACCGTATGAGCGATCTTCGATCAAAAAACTGCAAGCCACATTTTCAACGAAATGATGCGTGTTAAGTACACATATATACTGTTGAATGAAGTCGCCATCGGCCGAGTAGCATTTCATTCCGCTATTTTACCCGGTTATGCGACGTCTGTGCGATTAGTGGTGTAAGTCCACAGATCCTAACGTTTAACACCGAGAAATCAGGCCTCCATCTGATCAATATCAGAAGCAAGAAGATCCTTGTCGTCTGTTCGAATGTGTGAACTTAAAACGGAGGCGGCAAGCTGAACGACGTATTCCATACAACAAAGCAGTACCACCTTGACCTCCTTGTGATCCCAAAAACTCATATCACTGGCCAAGGCGAAGATCGCCTTGCAAACGGGTAGCAGCTTCATCAAGCATGCGACTACCAAGCTACCCTGGCATGTGGCATTCCTTGACTTCTGAGCAGCTTTCGATTCTTTACATCGTCAGTCCTTATGAAGCACTGCAGAAGATCAGCCGTCTGCTGAAAGGACTGTACGAAGGTACTAGCGGCACCAACAGAGCAGAAGAGTTGCCATCGGGTTGATTGAATATCATCAGTAAAGTGCGCCAAAATTTTGTGTTTTCACTTATATTATTCAACACAGTGGTGCATTATGTGATGCCGAGAAACTTCGTCTCAAACAACAACAAAGGATAAGACGACGACTCGGCCGAAGGTAGGTACCCTGCATTATTCTAACAAACCTCAAGTAGCACTGCTGAGAGACTGCGCCAGTGAGAGTTACTGACAGTGACTTGACAACTGCGCAAGGTGGCCTCGAAGGGAAACCTGAAAGGTAACCCTACCACAACAAAAATATTGCACGTATCTGACTTGACTACCCAATGATTCAATATAGCGGAAAGACCATCGAGGAAGTCGAAAAATTGAAATCTGATTTCTACTGACAAGAGATGAAAACTGCGATTTAAAGCTTGCATCAACTTCATGCAACTTTCTAAATTGTGGAAAGACCGATTTATCTGGACAGTAACAAAATATTTCTTTAAGTGACAAAATATGACCACACTGAAAGCCTACGTCTACTCAATCCTGATATACAGTCTTGAAACACATATCAATTTAAAGTATCAAGAAAAGATTTTGGACACTTTACAGCAGCGCTGTATGAGTAGGTTCCTGAAAATACAATAGTTCCATCAAATGAAGAATGAAAAGATTTTTGACATGACAGGCCTGAGAAACTGTCTAGAGAAATCATGGACCAGAATACGTCGTGGTTTGGAAGAATCATTCAGAGGAAGGATGGAGACTTATCCGAAACCGTTCTTCTATTGGCAACAGATAATGGCCGCATGCGCGACGGAGGTCAACATCCCACCTTCTGGCAACAGCTAGAGGCCGATCTGCTTCGAACGTAAAAATAGACCTTAACCGCTGAAACCAACATGTTTAAATCAGAGAAAAAACGCCAAAGCCTCGGAAATCGATAATCTTGGTAATCTGTCCTTGACATCGATGCTCCATATGACGACGACCATAACATTTTTTGTAGTCCAAAGAACAGATTCTTCAAGAAGCCGTTTTACTCATCTTCTCAGCTCATAATTGGGTGCAGGTTCTGTTCGATGAATATTCATCATCATCTTCCATGTCCGCATCATCTTTCGGGTAGAGGACGTTCACAGAGCCAGAGATATCTTCCAACGTTTCCGATCCTGTGCCAGAGACTGAGCTTCGGCAGAAAACAACTGGAGTCTGCAACAGACTCCTTCCATATATTTGCACCAGGTTAATCTTGGCACTCCCTTGGGCCTTCTGCCGGTCGGATTGCAAGAAAGAGCTGCTTATCCTTTTCTTCTGAACGCATTCGCAACACACGGCCAAACCATCGCAGCTGTGTCTTCTCAATCTGAAGAAACAGCCGTTCTACACCAAGCACATCAAGGACATCTGTTTTTCCGACCATGTTCAGCGCAAGGCCAGCGACTCGTCTCAAAGAAAACACATCATTAGCTTCTACACGACTCATGACCGTAGGGAAGCATGGGGTTTAAGATCGACTTGAACACCGAGAGCTTGGCTGTCACACTGAGCTCCGCTTTAGTCGCAATGAGTCGGGCCAGTTCACGCAGAACGCCACCGGCTACTGCAATTCGCTCGTCAGATCTCTTCCTCAGATTTTCCATCACTAGTAAACACAGTTCCGATATACCTGAACTTCTCCACCTGCTCCACTGCCTCTCCGTTAATCTGAAGAGAGCAACGGGCAGAAGAACGAGAAAACACTAGGCTTTTCGTTTTAGATGCGTTCCCACGCATGCCGGTCACGTCGCACTTGGCTGCGTGCTTCTTTAGGGAGCACTGAAGATCAGTTTCAAAATATGCTCATACAACAAGGTCTTCTGCCAACGGCAACCTTCTCGACTTCGCAGCACCTCCTTTCCAGCACCTTTGCACAGACTTTACATGGGAGGCTCAATAACGTTATGCCCCTATAATTGGAGCATTCTTTGTGGTCTCCCTTCTTGAATACGGGTACAATAACTCCCGTTCTCCAGTCCGCTGGTGTCTTTCCCGCGGTCATCGCAGTCTGACAGACACGTGTTAGCCAGCACATGCCTTGTTCGCCTAATGCTTTAAGCATCTGAA